AATAAAAAGGTAAAACTTCATATTGGAACTGCAATAAGAATTGTTATCAATAACAAGAGGCTACTGCGGTCATGAATCATCTTAAAATTCTTTTGCTGAGTTCAATCCACATTCAAAAGAATCAAATTTTTAATGTGAATAACTGAAAAATGAGCTAAAATATTGTTTCAAAATTGAACGTAATGCAATCGAAATTTCATCAAACTAAACTAATTTTGACAATGCTATAAAATTGGACTTTAGTAGTCATATAAAGTCCTCTTCGAGGACGACTTGGTTTTTCCAGGACAAGTTGGTTTTTCTGGGACAGTCCGCTTCTGGGAAAAATGAACTGTCCACTTCTAAACCAATGATACCGTCATACGGTGTTAGTTTTTTACCGGGAAAAAAATGAAACTTTTTTCAATGAAAATAAATAAACTTTTTTAATGAAAATTAATAGAAAAATGAAAATGAAATTTATACAAATTTAGAGGTCTCGGCTTGAGTCTCTGAGCTCGAGTTCTCGTACTCGAGACTCGACCCACCGAGCATATCTCTCTTGTAATACTTCAGGAGGGAAACCAAAGGCGGCTTCACAGCGCAAATCAATGTATGTTATGAACTGGTCCTTTTCGGCCAGTTCATTCCTCACCTCTGCCATCTCAGCTCTCAGCTCCTAGTTTTTGTTTTGGAGTTGCTGGTTTTGCGCCAACAGCAGCTGATTTCGCACCAACAGGCGCTCGATTCGCGCCTCCTGGTCCTCAAACGAGCGTATTTTCTCGATCGCCAGCTCGAGAGTACGGCGGATAAAGGAGAGGACAGCAATCAGGGCTGACTCAACGTGAGTCAGTACCCTTCTAAGCTGGATGGTTAAAGGTGATGATTGACTGAAAAGAGAAAAGAGGTTATTTATTTTAATTAAAAAAAGTTTCATTTTTTCCCGGTAAAAAACTAACACCGTATGACGGTATCATTGGCTTAGAAGCGGACAGTTCGTTTGTCCCAGAAGCGGACTGTCCCAGAAAAACCAACTTGTCCTGGAAAAACCAAGTCGTCCTCGAAGAGGACTTTATATGACTACTGACTTTGCGTATTTATCGCGCCCTAGTTATACATGAATGATTGTTGCAAAAATCAAACGCATTTTTTTCTAGCACGCATAGCTTCTAAGATAAAGACCAAAAATGCTATAAACTTTAAAGTTCGTAGAAGTCAACTGTTTTTTGGTACAGACATAAAAAAGGAAAACTTTACCTCCGCTCAAACTGCAAATGTTTGCAATTCAGCATCAGAATTTGTTGCGTGATGTTTAGGTTTTTAGTCGTTGTTCGTTTCTGAAACGCGTTAAACTTGTTTCATTAGTAAAAGGTGTAGATATAACGCACAGAAAGTGTCTCGAGGCTGAAAGCAAAATTCTAGGTAAAAGCAACTGAGCTTGGTAGAAATGCTGAAAGGGCATTGAAATTTTTTGACAAGCCACAGAAAAGAACTTTTCAGCCAGGCTCTTGCTACAAAAAAATATTAGTACTCAAAGTGGCAAAGAAAAGCTTGAAAAAATTACCAATTTATTCCCTTTGGTCAATATCAATTCAATATTGGTCGCTTATGCTCTGATAATAAGATGATAACCAAAATCCAACTGTTTAACTTATTCATGATCATGTTGCAAGAATAATCTGTGTCAGATTTTGTGTTAGTTTGAACTATTAAAGTATTTGAACTTTGAATAAATTATGACTGAAGAGTTTGAAATTTGGAACTTTAAAGTTATTCGTTTATTTAACCTTTTTTGTTAAGATTTTATGGGAGTTTTTGCTCATTTTATAATCTTGAACTCCATAGCATCCTACATTGAAAAGATTTGTAACTCTAATAATATTTAGACCTACCAATGCTCAATACTAATATCTTCAAAATCACCAAGCTACAGAAAAATTTTCGCCAAACTCAGACAATTTTCATTTCCATTCTGACTCTTTATATGCTTAAGTTTTTTTCAAGCTGCCGAGAAAATACTGCGTTTTAAATCGTAACATTGTTTGTATAAAGGAATGAAAGTTTGACGAAATAAGTAAAGAAAAGTATCCTTAATTATGAATTTATCCTTTTGTTTTAAAAGATTTCATGCTGAAAATGATCTTGAAAACACTTTAATTAGTAATCTTAAGTTTTTCAATTTCTGTATTTTGCCTTTTCGCTAATTAATTATTGATTCTTGGAAATGTAAACAGTTGAAAAGTCGTTTTTAATTGCTTCTCAACTGTCGATGGTTTTTTTATTGTTGACTACAAAGTTTCCAAAGAATGGGTTAAGAAATAAAAGAACAGAAAATTTGAAGAAAAAAAAGTTGAATGGAAAATTATTTGAAGCAAAATAATTGATTAATAACAATTGACTGATTTTTACAGTTTGATGGTTTAATTGTTTTGCTCATTTGTTATTTTTCCTTTTTTCGTTGTTACTTTAATGGTAAAAAAAGTAGCCAAAGAAAATTAATACCACAAACGAGCATGGATTACCAACTGAAAAATCATCAGAACTTCTTGTTACAACCAGATGCTCATCAGCTAATCCAATTATATCATGAATATTTAAAGTTTAATGTTTTCTTGTGTAACATTTAAAGTTTTACAATAAGTTGAGAATCTTGTAATTGATATTTCACTTTCAATAACTTTAGATGAAATGAAAACGTTTCAAATGTCATGAAATGCCAAGAAAAGTTGAATTGTAACGAACTTTGAATATGTAAAGTTTCATGTTCACTAAGAAGTTTTCTGAAATGATTTCCATTCCTTGAAACACATTGAAATCAAGGAACCATGAGATATTGAAAAGCATCATGAAAATTTAGAGAAAACATTATCAATGAATTTTCGCGCAAAATGTGAATGAAACTGAAGCATCTTTCGTAATATTGACAGTAAATGGTGAAATGGTTCAAGAGCCATTTTGCTGTTTTCCGTTTACCTAAGAAGGTGAGTGTTTGAGCATTCAATCAGCTCAACTTGAAATGGTTCCATGGCAGAGTCAATAGAGCTATCGAGTTGAACTGATAAACATTTACGTAACTTTTCCATCCACATTAATGAAGGTAAAATTCAATTTAATCACAGATTTTGTTTCACATTTTCATCATTTAACCATCATTTATTCAACAAGAATCTGCATTGGAAGGAAAAAAGAAGTAAACAGAAGAGAGAAAAAAAGATATTCTTTACAATGGTTAACATGAGACACTTGGAACTCTTTTTTTTGCCTTCTCTTCATTATCATGGGCAACATCAGTAGGTTCAAGATTACAGGGAACAAGTTGAAGCGATCATTAAAAGAAGTCAAAGGTTTTAGATGAAACAGAATCTCAATATTTTTACATTTCAAGATAATAGTTGTGGGTTTATTTGACCTCCAAATGATCAGCAGATCTGAAAGAAAAAAGATCTGAACAGGGAAAAGAAAGAAGTCAGGGAAAAAAACGATAATGTTCACTGGTTCAGGTCACTTGTTATTCATGTTGAGCTTAATATGAAAAGACAGATTTTTCACTTTTCTTTCCCTCTTGCAACCTTTACCTTTGAAGCTGTTCATAGGCAAAATAATCAAAATACATTAGACTTGAAGCCAACTCATGATAAAATATTAATGGTTTATAAAGTTGACTTGAACTCATCATGCATTTTCTTCAAGTCATTCTTGTTGAGTTGATTGCTTTAAATTTCAACTGATTAAATTTTCCCCTCAAATCTCTACTTTAACTGGTAAGCTTTTTGGTTGCCAAGTTGCAAAAGGTTTAAATTAAAATTTAAAGTCTTTGCAGAATCATAAATGTTGACTGGTTCACATCATTGAATTGTCTCTGCGTAAAGTTTACTAATTCAAACGATTACATTATTTTGTATTCAAAGTTAATTAAAAAGCTTGACCCAGTAACTCATTATGGATGGATAAGTTCGTTTGAAATTTTGTCTACTTTTTCATTTTGGAAAGCAACTCTTGAATAATGATGATCGCAGTTTTATTGCTGATCAAGGTTGTGTTTCTCATCAGCTCATTTTGCATTATTAAAGTGACAAAAAATGTCAATTTTGAACAGTTAAACTTTGAACCTGCTAACTGATTGTGACGGTTTACTTTGATGATTAAAGTTGATTTGATTCTAATAAACAATGAACTTTGAGCGGTAAAACTGATTTATCAATTGAGTATAGATTCAAATTTGGGCGATTGGGTAAACAGCAAGTTATAGTGTTTTTGCGGTTTAAGTTCAAAACAGTAAAAGCAAATGAACAAAAAGATGAAATAGCAAAAAGTATCGCCAATCAAATTCCCACTTCTCATATAACTTATCGAGCAGTTGAAACTCTAAATGATAAACTGACAGTCGGACACTTTTCGTGTACTGTGCAAATGAATCGACTTTCAATTTCGAATGTGATTTTACCTAAAATTTTCCATTTTGTCAAAGGTCTTTGTGGGCCCAAACTAACTAACTAACTAACCTGGTTCAAACCGATTTTTGTATTAAAACTTTCAATAGATTTATATTGATTTTAAAAGCCGATTGCGTCTGTTTGACCCATCACTGTTTCTGCAATAATATTGTACCGACCATGAATAATATGTGATATATTCATATTAAGTTTTGCCTCATTTTTAGTATCTTTGTGCATTGAAAGCAACTTTGATTCAAAATATGGATGTCATGAAACATTATGGAAGGTATCACAAAGTAATGCGTATTAGATCAGAAAAGTTCTGACTGTTGATAATCCTGATCCTTGGGTAAATTAATTGAAAAAGTGTCCGACTTTCAGTTTCATCAGTGAGTTCAGTTGTTGAAATAGCTCAAAATTTCATGAGAATTGTGAATTTGATTGATAATCATTTTTTTGTTGTTTTACTTTTGCTGGTTTGAATGGAAACCAACTTATGTGTGGACCTTTTTAATCATTGAATCTGTTAACCTTCGAGTTTTTGGATTGATAACAATTTTTATTATTTAAAGATGAGAATGAGAATGGAAAGAGAAAAAATAAATTTATTATTCCATTCGATTTTTTGCTTTTTTGCAGTTTCCTCACTGAAACACTGAGTGTTTTACACTTTATAAATGACAATTTCGATTGAACTTGACATCATACACATCCATTTGTGAGCTCAGTTCGTTTGGTTGTTTGGCACGTTGCCGTTGTTAACTCGTCCATCCTATTGGTTTCCTCTTTAGCTGAGCCTGGACGATCATGGCGTCGACGTGAGCCACTTGGACGACAAGAGATAACCTTTCGAAAAGCTTTGCGAAAATTTTCCGACAAAAAGGCGTACAAAATTGGATTGATGCAAGAGTTGATGTAAGCCAAAATTTGAGAAACAATCAAAGTGACCAACTTGAATTTAGAGTCGGGTTCAAACATTCCCTGAGACCTTAGAGTGAGAACAATGTGAATGGGTCCCCAGCAGATGGCAAAAATGACCACCACAACGACAACCATTCGAGTAACTTTTCTCTTGTTTCGAACAGACCGGCCAGTTCTAATGTCATTGTGCCAAAGACGTTTCAACATGTACACATAGAGTACAAAGGCAAGAGTGAGTGGGATAGCATAAGAGGAGAGGAACACGGAAGGAGCAAAAAATTTATTCTCGGCTGGATTGATGTGGCACAAGTGGGATGTTTCACTGTCGAGGTCGACGTGGACTTGGTGAACAATTAAAATAGGAAGACATAGAAATATTATTGCTATCCAAAGGATGGTTATCGCTCTGTAGGCATTGACCTCAGTTCGAATGGAAAGGGAAGCAATGGGATGGACTACGGCAAGAAAACGATCAAGTGACATGAGGACAAGAGTGTAGATGGAGGCAAAGGCAGATACGTAGATGAGATACTGTACAATGCGACACCAAATGTCCCCAAAGGGCCAGTATTTAAGAGCATAATCGGTTGCCGTAAAGGGAACACAGAAAATGATGAAAAGTAAATCGGCAACTGCCAGGTTGAATATAAGTACATTGGTTGTTGAGCGCATCTGATCGTCCCAAAGGACGACAATGACGACCAGTGAATTGCCCAGTAAACCAATGACTACAATGATTGAAAAGACGAGAGGAACCAGGATTCGGACAACCTCTTCAACATTGGCAAATGAACATTCATCGGCGTAAATTTGTGACACATTTGGATCGAGGGAAGAAATGAGCGATCCACAAAATGAAGTTCCCGTCGAGTTGAGTGAAGGGTCAACTGATAAATGGTCCAAGTAAAGAGGTTCTTCAGATGAATCGGACAAGGGTGAAGAGGGTAAATGTGATGATGAAGGTGAAGGTGAGTAAAGAGTTCGTAGTTGACTGAAAATGTTGTTGATTCCAGGTGGATCCATGTTCGCACTGGGATTGTGATTCTTTAGTTCAATCTCTTGGACACTTTGCAGTCATTAATTAAACCGAAGCAAACAAAGCCACTAAAGACACAACACCACACATGATGATGTTAACCGTAACAGTGAATGATAAGAAAATGAGACTTTGACCATTCGTCTGACACTTTGTTCACATTATTCACTTGAGAAGAAGAAAAAATGAAGAAAATGATTGAACAGTTTTGGTGAAAAGTTGCAATTATTGGTTTTTCCTCGAAAAGCAAACTGTCCAAAGCACTTTGCCGAAAGTGTGAGATGAAACTTTGGTTGAATTTGATGAAAAGCAAATGCAAGTTAAACATTCACTTGTCGTTGACGATAAACATTAACTCCCTGTGAAAAGGTGGAAAAAGAGAAAAGTGGAATTAGAAAATTTGGTTCAACAGAAAAAAGATTTTCTTTCTTCTTTTCATATCCTTTTAAACTTTACACTTTGCTTTGTGATAATCTTTATATCCATTCACTATTCACATGTAATCATCCTCATCATGACAATTGCCATGTTATACTGAATGAAAGTCTAAGTGTAAAGTTTACTCACAGAGAAATGCGCAAGTCAAAGAGTTTACAATGAACTCGCACAGAACAGACAAGGTGACCATTAAAGGTTCAATCAGTCAAATTGAACATTTCACGAATTGGTAACCACAGTATTATCAAATGACAATCTCGATAGTCGATGGTGTTCACTGGAAAAGCAACTTTCTTTCCTTTTCTGGGTTCGTTAATGTTTCCTTTTCATCTTATTAATGCATGAATATCTGGGAATAATAATTTAATTTCAATTGTAATTTGATCGTAAAGGTAAATTATTCACTTGCAATCATTTTGTTGCATTTTATCTTTTACCTTTCATCTTTTCCTTCATTGAATTTCACTTTTCTTAGTTTTTTTTACTTCTTTGGTCAATAGTTATGAAAGATGAGTTTTGCAAGAAACATTTCAAGTTGAATATCTTTCGACATTTTCTTGTTCTTTTCTTGTTCTTTTTCACTGGAAATTAGCATTTTTTGATGGATTCTCATTCATGCTGTTTCCCATGTTATCTGATTAGAGAATTGGCTTTATTTTTCTCTGATGAATCTTTTATTCTTTCCTGAAAGAGAGACACAAAAATAGCAATTTTTCTTATTTAGCTGTGATGATAAATCCAAGTTAATAACATTTAGTTAGCAGAGTTTAAATGCATCTTTTGGAATACATAAATAAAATTGGAACAAATAAATTGACAGATTTATTCTTAATATCAGAATATTCCATTGATATCACAACACAATGAGACGAAATTTTGCGTCACTTTGAGAAAAGAACAGACGAAGAGAGAAAAAGGAGAAAAAAGAAGAAATTCTATTATCATATGAATATCAATTAGATACTTGAGAAGATAATTCAGTTGGAATTGAACAGTTGGATACATGGACAGGTGAAATGAAAAGAAGAGAAGGAAATCCAAGGGAAGATAAAAAGAAAAATCTGTTTCACCATGTTGAACCAAAGTTGCCATTCATTGAATTAAAGTTAATCCTCATGAGAAGGTCAAATGATTGATACGGAAAATTTGACTGAAAACATATCAATGAAGGTATTAACAGTAATGATATCAACGATTTACCAATGATTCATTCCAAGCACATGATAAAAAAGTTCAAAAGAATTTCCACATTTTCTTTATGAATCGAGCAAAAATGTTGCTCAAGAAACACAAAATTTCCAAGACGATTCTTTTATCTACCGTTATCCAAGCACATGATAACATTGGAATTGCGATTTTCGCTCAATTCTATCTTTTCTTATGAATCATGAGAAATGTCAAAATCTATGATTGACTGAGAAACACTCGAATCGCAGCATTCTGTGATTATGAATGTGGGATTGTTGAAGCTTAAAGGCTGTAAAAAATGAAGTTCAAGATGAAGTTCAATAATATTCATTCATTTCCATGAGCTTACAATTACAAGAGTTTTACTCTTGTTTCTTGCTGCTTGACAAGTTAACCTTTCATTACTTCACTCCCAGTTTACTCCCAGTGCAATCCCATTCAACTCCCAAGCCTCATTTAAAGCCTGTTCAACCGATAAATATTCATTTACTAACCTTAAATGATCCAACTTAACCTGGAAATTGAGCTTGGAATTTCAATGAAAATCATGATAATAAGCAACTTATAATGGGCTACTTGTAATATAAATATCAAGATTATCTTTTGAATAAATGAGAATATTTTCTTCTTCTAACCTTTCCATGCTTGTCATCTTGAGAAGTGTAAAGGTTAACTAATATGAAATGATTAACTAAACCTAATTCCAGTCAATAATTTTCACTTAATTTCAGCACAAAATTCAAAGTCAAAGGCAACAAAAGAAATCAAATCAGATATGAAAATGAAAAGTGGCAAAAGTAAACAGTTGAACAAGTTGTTTAACAAGGAAAACTTTTAAATCATAAATTCATCTCTGTATATGAGCTTTTTTTATTCATGAAATAAACATTTAGATAACCAAAAATGAAGAAACTCATTCTATTCAGTCTATTATTAATAGTCTTGGAAGGTATGAAAAAAAGCTCTGAAATTGCATGGCGAGAAGAGAGAAAAAAGTGAGGTTTTGAAAGTTCCAAAACTCGATAGAGATGAAAATTATTTACGAAAAAAATGATGTTCGTCAAGCATTTCATCAACTTTGCTCTGTTTGATTTCCATTCAATTGAACAGCAATTATCTTTGAATAATTGTCAACTTCAAGACTCGAGATGAGTTTGGAAATGAGAGGAAAAGTGAAAAGGCCAAAGAGAAGAGAAAAAATTGTGTAAACACTTTTTTCTCTCCACCTGACAGTTGCAATCTCAGGTGACAATTATTTATGTAATCATAATATTGTTTACCATAACGTTTAACTTTCATTGACTTTTCACTCGACATCATCATGTTTCGTAAAGCAACCCAATTTTGTACCCAAACCCATCCATTAATCAGACTGACATTTGGCTTTCTGTTTCATTGCTTAGTATTTTTGCTTTGTTATTGCTTTTTGTTTCAAAACTATTCAACTTTTCCTTTACTTGGTTAACGATAATTTTTTCACTTTATTATTACTTCTGTTGCCATTGTCTTGCCTTTCACTGTTTACTCGAGTAATCTCATCTTTTGCTGCCTTTTGATCCTCGAAAAGCCAAAAAATGTCGAAAAAACAATTTCTTTTGCTGTCCAGTTGTTCATTCACGAGATTAACATTACAAGTAACTTTTAGCTTTTAGATGATTCCTCAACCTTATTGCAAGGAGAGAAAAGTTTATCTTTGGCAAAATGATGAGCTTTCTAAGGGCCAACTTAATGGCATTTCTGGTTATGTTTTATGTTTTATAACGAACAAGAATAAACAAGAAAAAGATCGAAAATCAATTGGAAATTCAAGATGAACAACTATCTATCCAGACGGAAAAAGAAGAATAAAAAAGACAAAACTTTCTCGATCCATTTAGACGAAGCTTTCGACTCACAAACTTTTCTTAGCTTAATTAACATTCCTTGAGTTAGATGATTGATGCAAGAGGAAATGCTGGACATGTAACCATTGAATATTATTCATCCATTTAGAGTCAATCAAAAGATGTAAAAACCTTGACTCTTCCGCCTCATAATGTAACCAAAGATCAATAATAACACAATAATAAACATTCAAACTCAAACTAGAAAAAGAATCTTAACTTTGAACAAACATAATCAGTTTAATACATTCGATATTCTGAGATTGATCAGGTTCGAAGAAGTTTGATAAACCAAAATAGCGTCTGAATTAAGCCTCTAAAGTCTCGAACTTTGAAGAGTAAAGCAACTTTAAGGATAAAACGCAATTCACTCCAAAGGTTAAAGACTTGCTATTGTTGCAAAACATTATAATGACGTTATAAATATCATTTGCTCATTTTCAATGGAAACATAACACGACGATATTAAGCAAATAGTTTAATTGGTTTATTATTTTGATGGAATTTATTTGCTCAATAATTGTCCAGTTTTCTGTTGCTATCAAATGTTACCAACTATGACTAAAAGCTGTTTGCCTTACAGTCAAAGCATTTCAAGAGCATTTGCTTTCATTCAATATTGAACTTCAACTTTAATCTGTACTTTATTAATATCACAATCAACCATTTCAAGTGGATATAACATTTTGAAACTGTTTGCAACTGCGACTCTAATAACTTATATTACGCTGTATCAAATGAAAAATAGCAACTTGAAAAATCCATTTTGTGTTTGTGTCTTTTTTCACAAATTTACACACAAAATTTCATTTCCTTCTCAACAATTTTGATAAATTGAATAAAGTACAAAAGTTGAATCATTTTTCTCCATTTTTGCTTGACATGAAAATGAAAATGTTCATCAAAGGTTATTTACCTGGAATGAAATGAAATTGTAAAAACTGAACAAGATGAATGTTGACCCGTTCAATAATTGATTAGCCAGTGTAGTCTCGAGTCAACCTAGAGGATAGACTATCCTCGGTTGAGATGTTGCCAAATGTTGGGATTAAAGTGGCAAGTAAAGTAACCTCAATTCACTTCAACAATCGGTCCAACACTAATTTAACCTCATTAATCTTGTTCACAAATCTTCGAATGTGTGTCAAGCGTACTTTTTTCACACTCAACAGAATGAAAAAGATAATCTTAATCTTTTCTGATGACCAAATTACTCTTTTTTCCTGTCCATTCACTCCAAACTTTTTTTTTCCCTCCTTTAAACGGTTGTTTCCCTTTTCGGTTAAACTTTACTCTTTACTGTGAATACAAGTTTTCTAACCACCATGGTACTCGGGAAAAGTAATCATGAAAAAGAGGTGAAAAAGAGAGTGTCTGATGAAGAGCAAGGAAGGAAGAAAAGAAAATGATGAAAATAAAGTTTCCCTTTTACTTGAAATTAAATAGCAAATAGTTAATCTTTTATATCGCAATTTTTGTGTCAGTAAATTCAATGGTTTGGAAAACTACTTCAATTACTTAGAGCAAATAAGAAGGTGAAATGCAATTTAATGATGATTAGAGCAATGAGCGAACAGAAGCGAACAGAGAATAGACGAACTTGGACAAGTTTTGAGGACAAAAAAAGATGAGCAAATGTACAAAGTTAATGCAAATGGAGCAACGAAAAAAAACTTTCGACAAAGGTTCAAGTACTTTCGTCAACTTGTTGAACTTGCAATTTGTTTGCCATTTAGCCATGAAAATGATTGGCAATTTTGTTCTTAAACATTGACCTTGTGAAGGGATAAAAAAGTTCAGCAACCATTAACATGATAATCACAGATTTGCACTTAAATTTTGTCAAATCT